ACACTTGCCTGAAAAACAGCAGGCTGACATCCACGAATAATAGGTGGTTTACTGACGGTGCCGTCGGTGCCACCTTAATTCCGCCGAGCTGCGATGACAGATTTTGTGATTTCAAAAGGCGCGAAAGGCCCTATGCTGCCAACAAGAACAGGTGATGCGTGTACGTATAGAGCCGTTCGATTACCTGGGTCCTACGGGCCAAGCCTAGTAGGTAACCTCTGTGGAGCCTGACTGCCTCCATGGGCCATGGCTGAGAGCCTACATGTGTGTACGTACCTGCTGCTAGGGCTGCAAGAAAAGCTCGAGGCTCGTGAGTTGCTCGAGATCGACTTGTTTTTTGACTTGACTCGAGATCGACTCTAAAAGAAATGAGCCGAGTTTGAACACTTTATGTAGATCGATCGAGAAACGAGTCGATCTTGAGCCAATGTTGGATCGCTCAATTTTAGCTCGATAGCTCGACATAATGTCATTATGTTAAATGATCATGCCATATATATATATGTATATATATATATATATATATATATATATATATTAAATGAAGATAAGATTATTACCATATTTGTTGTCCATAATGTTTCTCCATTTTACTTACCAACGAAACATGGAAACTTAATTAAGTGCAGAGAAGATTTAGGCCTAATTATGGCACGTGGTTGGCTATGTGTTAAATATCCTATATTTTTGGCAAAGGTTCCCAGCATGTTCGCCTTAATTTTTTTGTTTTTCATCCATAGATTTATAATTTTTACCATCTCATTTAGCTCGAAACTAGCTCGAGATCGACTCGAGATCGTTACAAGCTGAGTACGAGTCATGTTCTGCAGCTCGATCATGAGCTTCACTCAGTTTGAGCTCGCTCGAATTTTCATATGAGTTGAGCTGAGCCAACTCCAACTCGCTCGAGCTCGACTCGTTTGCAGCCCTACCTGCTGCCGAGGGGCCCCCTGGATGTTGGGGGCCCGGGGCGGCCGCCCCCTGCCCCCCTCAGGGCCGACCCTGCTTTGGATGAGAGCAGACGCAAGGCCGCAAGGGGCTTATGCGCCAGCAGTTTGCCGGCACCACGACGGCGCGGCCGCGCAGATGTCATCGCCGCTCGTTCGGGGGGAGAGAGTAGGACAGGGGCGTTGACGACGTTGACGCGAGATCCCGACGGGAAGCTGCTTCTCCGAGATATGGTGGGTGGCGGCTGCTTTGCGAGATGCCGGACGGCTCGCTCCAGTGGCCGGTGATCCCTGATCCGGGAGACGGCGCGACTACGTGCTCGAGACGGGAAAAGGATGGGGATGTCATGCGCTGCGCTAGTTGGGCTGGGCTACGAAGATGCATATGTAAATTTAGTTTTGCCAAAATCCTGGGCGGGCCATGGCCCTGTTTGGCCCCTACAGAGCTCCGCCCCTGCATCCAGGAAGTGGCGGAGCTTGAAGAAAAATGTTGGGCGGGCTAGACTAAAGAAGAGCACATTAAAAAACCGAATCATAAGCATTAGTATATTACTGCATTATGCAAAGTTACAAGATGGAGCAAGCAAATATGTACATATATATACGGCAGCATATATTCAACCATGATTACATGAAGCACCATTAAGTTAGCTAATACAAACAATGAAGCACCATTAAGTTAGCTAATACAAACAATGAAGCACCATTAAGTTAGCTAATTCAAACAAGGACAATACATGTTCTTCCTCAACTTCAGTTATGTCATCAATTTTTCTTTTAAAAACCAAACCAATTCTTTTCCATGTCTGATTATCCTTCACATAATTACCTAGGTTGCAATTTGCATAAGATAAGACTATTACTTATCATTAGATGTAAGGAGTTGAAAGAAGTCAGACTATTCCTTATCAAACATGGAATTTGGGGCAAGATGTTAGCTTACTAGTGCTGCCCTGTTCTGTGTCACTGTGTGTCACTGTGTCCTCAAGAAAATTCAGTCCGACAGGCAGTCGGGTCATGCACCAGCGCAGGGATGTTGGCAGGACTGGATGTTGGAACTTTGGATGAGAGCAGACGCAAGGCCGCAAGGGGCTTATGCGCCAGCAGTTTGCCGGCACCACGCCGGCGCGGCCGCGCAGATGTCGTCGCCGCTCGTTCAGGGGGAGAGAGTAGGGCAGGGGCGTTGACGACGTTGACGCGAGATCCGGACGGGAAGCTGCTTCTCCGATAGATGGTGGGTGACGGCTGCTCTGCGAGATGCCGGGCGGCTCGCTCCAGTGGCCGGTGATCCCTGATCCAGGAGACGGCGCGACTACGTGCTCAAGACGGGAAGAGGATGGGGATGTCATGGGCTGCGCTAGTTGGGCTGGGCTACAAAGATGCATATGTAAATTTAGTTTTGCCAAAATCCTGGGCGGGCCATGGCCCTGTTTGGCCCCTAGAGAGCTCCGCCCCTGAACGTGTTCATCTTCATCCCATCTTTTTTTTTTTGAGCATTGCATCGAGCAGCTTGTGGGCATCCGAGCCATCTCTGCCCATGCGAGCCGAGAGCTCCATAGCTATGGAAGCTGAGCCCCTGCTCAAGCATGCCCTAGGCCGCCTCAGCCTCTTCCCTACACCTCATGAACCCTCGAATCCCGCCGCCGCCCCCGCCGGCATGGACGGCCGAGCCGAGAGCTCCATGGCACGGCAGCCGAGCCCTGCTCGAGCTAGCCCAGGCCGCCTCACGCTTGGCGTCGGCGTGCTGGCCTGCGAGCAGGGCCAGCAAGGAGGCGCAGCTCCCGCGCTGCCTCCTGGGCAGGGCGACTGCATCGGGCGGCGCGACGGACGGCCTCCATGGACGACGACGAGCATGACCTCGCGTTCTTCTTCACGCAGGTTTGCTCATTCATGGCGTCGGCGTGTCCGAGCACTTATACGTGCTCAAGGTGAGCCACTCGCCCCTTTCCCACGCAGCCACAACTTGGCTCGCCCGGCACCTTGCCCGCGCCGCCGTCGTATGCCAGCTTCGGCAAGGTGGCCACCACCTTGGTAGTTGGTAGAAGGATAGGAAGAGCTACGTGAGCCTGCGGACAGGATGGATAAGTCTGGCTCGCCGTTCCTCTGGTCGCTGCTCCGGCGTGGCCATGGCGTACTGTGCCTTCTTCAATGGCTAGAGGATGAAGGCAGGCAAGGTGTTCGATGGAATGCTCCATAGAAACAATGTTGTGAAGAAGATGACTTTTTAGTCATTGACAGGTAGGGCCTGTGTCTCATTTGCCACATCAGTCGGTCAAACTTTTTGGTCTTCGCCACGTCAGCCCGACAGGCGGGCCCTACTTGTCGGTTTGGCTGTTTTCGCGACCAAATCCCAGCATCAGTGCTCCACGTTACATGTTAGGCACAATTTCGGTGGTTTTTTGTGCCCTGGCACAAATCTGGTACCAAGTTGTTACCCTAGCCCCAAGTGTGGTTGTTTTGGGTAAATAAAGCTCTACTGTACTCACTGGGAAGTGGTGAATCGCCATTGCTGGACAACGTGGCTAGTACCTCACTTGCGATGTGTGTCCGCATCTTCTGGAGCTACTCATACTATTTGTGCTGCCGTGGTTCTGTATCTGCACTGTAGTGTTCCTGGTGAAGACGACGAAGAGGGTTCTGCAGGGTGCATCGAGGACTTATGAGAGACATCCTAGCAGGAACCACTACTTTCTTCTATTTTGTGCAATTCCCCATGCATTTCTGGCTAGGCCACATCAAGGCTTGTTGTTTCAGTCTTTTTTTTTAAAGATTGATGTTTCAGTCTTATCTTCGAACTGGGATAACACTTCTCCCCTTCTTTTCTTGAAGCGGAGGCAAAACTCGATCTGAATAAAGTTTGAGGTTTCTTCTTACTAATGAACTTTTGTAGTAGCCTTGTCTTTAGTTCACACTCTTGTTGGAGTGGGTAAATTTCTTGATAAAAGGGCAATGCAATCGATGTTTATCTTATTGGCCTGCAGAAGATGTTATTTTCTCACGATTTGGGATGAGGTGTATCTTCAATTATCACTGTTCGTGTTCATGTCATCTGCTGATATATTTGCAGCTGTTATCTTATTGGTAGGCTAAAAGGCCTGATTAAGTAGAACCTAGACTCTATTAACTAACAGAGTAACATGATCTTGAGTGTGAACTTATTTGGTGAATTAAACAGGTCATTGTTCTCCAAAATGTGGTTTCACATCAATTTTGATGAACTTATTTGCTAGTACTTCACAATGATTTTGAGTGACATCGACATGGCAGCGCCAACTTGACCAAGGAGCACCAAGGAAGCATGTGGACAGTGAATTTTGCATAGAAACACCTTTTTTCTTCACCCTCCAAAATTTTCTTCTCACCTGGATGGTTTTGTTTACCTCCAAGGTTACTATTCGTTCACCCTACTGTAGGTCTGTTATTATCCATTAGACAAATGAGTGAGAAGCTGATAAGCATTTCTAACCTTTAATTTGTTAACTTATACTGGTTGTTCTTTGGCCAAATATCTGTGAAGCACCCAGATCCATTTCCGTGAATTATGACTGTTGCTCTTATGAGAAATGCCTGACCAACTTCAGTTAGTAAATACTCCCTCCGTCCGGAAATACTTGTCGCAAAAATGGATACAAATGGATGCATCTAAAACTAAAATACGTCTAGATACATTCATTCCTCCGACAAGTATTTCCGGACGGAGGGAGTAGTTTGCTAATACTTTGCTCTCTGGCAGGTAGAACTGAATGGGCTATTGATGAATTTTTCAGCAAATCTTTCTGCTGCTGCTGCTGCTTTGGCTGTGTGGTATGTTTTCCGAAACCATTATACACACGTAAGTATTTAATTTCAACCAAGAAAAATATCTTGTGACATCAGAAAAGAGTCAAAAAATCTAATGATGAATTAGTGCTTAAACGAAAGGATTGTTGCATAACTGGACTACAATGGATGAATACATAGGATATGTTGGCATTTACTAGAAGACATGTACGTACATCATCAACAGTTACACAATGGTGAAACAATTAGCATTGGTAAAAAGTACAGTAAGAATCACTCTATCGCAAGAGTAGCACCACCTGGCAACAGAGGGCTCTCGTCGACTGAAGAGGTCAACGGCGATGAACAGTTGGAGCTTGTAGGCGCAGGTAGAGTGTCGACCTCAATCACACCCTCCAGCATCTGAACAACCTGATGCATTGTCGGACGGAGCGAAGGATTCTGCTCAATGCACCAGAGAGCAACACGCAAGAACCTCTCCACTCTGAACAAATCCTCAATGGCGTCGTCATCGCTATGAAAGAGAACCTCAGTCCTGCCATCACCAACCAACTGACCGGCCCACTCGAATAGCATGACCGAGTCATCACCATCCTGACCAGGCACTGGCTCCTGGGACTTTCGGCAGCATATCATCTCTAGTAGCACAACACCGAAGCTGTAAACATCAACCTTGGTGTCGATGCGCCTGTCGCTTTGGAACCACTCGGGGGCAATATAGCCCCTCGTGCCCCTGATGTTGGTCACCGTGGTGTGCATCTGCTGGTCACTAAGAAGCCTGGCAATCCCAAAGTCAGTAATCTTCGGATTTTTCTTGCTATCTAACAATATATTGTCGGGCTTGATGTCACAGTGGATGATTGGATAATTGCATCCTTCATGTAAGTACTCCAGGCCCTTGGCAATGCCGAGCGCTGCCTCAGCGCGCCAACTCCACATCGGTTGCTGCTGAGGTTGGAAAAGGAAGCTCCGAAGGGAACCACCTGGCATGAACTCGAACACCAACATCCGTTGAGCCCGCTCTTTGCAGTAACCAACCATGCGGACTAGATTCCTATGGTGGATCTGGCCGATGGACTGTACCTCATTCCCAAACTCCCTCTCGCTGTAATCATTGGAGCTGATGAGCTTCTTCACTGCTATCTCAGGGTAGTGTAGCGACTTCAACACCCCATAGTAGACCTCGCCAAAGCCTCCTCTGCCTAGCAACCTATGAAAGCCATTGGTGGCTTTGTAAAGCTCTTTTGCAGTGTAAGCCCTCACAAAGTCATGGTTGGCGGTCTTTTTTCTGAGGTAGCAATGTAACATGAGACTACCTGCTGCCGACAACAACAGGAACGCCGAGCAACCGAGTAGTACATAAGGCAATATCCTTCTCAGTGATGCCGGCACCGAGGGGCTGCTTGTCCTCACCTTGATCAACACGTTCATGCTGACATTTCCTCCCTGCTGTCCGGCACCTGTCAATGACGCCATCTTAGCACAGTACGGTCCATGAAATAGAGCCGCTGTGCACAGGCAGTCGCTAAGGCAGAAGTCTCTACACTGGTCCTCTGTGACTGTGGTGTACGGATATCTTTCGTACGGCAAGTTTGTCCAATTGGTGTTGGGCATCTTGACAACTCCAAACTCGGCGGAGTGGTTGTTCCCATCACAGCTTTGCGGTACAAACTCCTGAGTGCATCCTCTGTGCTTGAGCTGCGCATCAAGGAAAGAGTAGCCGCTTGGACACTTGCAATCGAGACGGCCATTTGGGCCGTGCACGCAGTAGGAATTGGGGCCGCAGAAACCTTGCAAAGCGGTGCTCCTGCTGCAACCTTCACTTGGGAATAAGCCAGTGACTGCCCACGACACGTTGCTCCTTCCCCCAGCGGCATTCTTCGGCCGGGTGTAGACGCGGATGACGCCGTCTGGATCGAGTGTTGCGTATTGGTGGTAACTGGAGGTGGAGTTTGGAAATAGAGGTATCAGGTCTTGCACACTGCCGTCCTTGATATGGTAATAGAGATACCCCGGTGAGTCGAAGAAAAGGGTCGTGTTGCCGTCTTGGGTGTTGCCGGATTGGTAGGTGCCGCTCCCCCAATAAGCATTGTCCGATTTCAGGCTGCCGGCAGCAAGGTTGCTGCCAATGTTGTCGGCAGCGAGGTACAAGACAATGTTGCCGTCGGCCTGCATGTACAGGCCGAAGCGGCCACGGGAGAAATCCGTGTCCGAGCGCTTCGAATGAAGGGCTTCTCCAGAGCCCATGGACTGCCCTGGGAGGAGCGTATCGGTCGGATACCGAAAGCTCTCCCACATGACAGTGCTTCCCCCAAAGGCGAGGAACTGGAGGTTGCCCGAGTCCTGGAGCACGAGGTCAGAGCCATACTGTAAGTTAGGGTTCTGGTTTTTCCAAATTCTACCAGATGTGGTGTCGTCGAGGTAGAGCTGATCATTGATGCTGAATACGGATAGCCCTGTGACCGTGATGGCCGAGCCTGAGTCTGGGTCTTTCGCGTACCACACCACCCTCTGCTCCGCAGGGTCAGCCGCTTGGGTGAAGTTGAAGTTGAACCAGACGGCGAGGAGGAACCGGCTAGGGTCGTCGCCGAGGGCACGGAAGCCGAAGGCGTACTCCCCGGATGAGCAGGTGATGTAGTTTGGTGGCCTGAGAATCGACCCTCCCGCGAGCTTGTTTGCTACAAGCAGATGAGCTTGGTGCAGCAAGAGCACAAGCAGTGGGGCAAGGTGGCGAGAAAAAGAGGGAGAAATGCCTGATGGCTTCATTTGTGATTAGTTTGCTGCTGCTGGCCACTGTACTACTAGTCTACTACTCATGGTATGTTCTTATATATCTACAGTTCTCCACTCATATTGCATGCATTGTTTTTGCATGCATATATAGTGACACGGGCATGAGACAAGTTTATTTTGCAAGTCACACATGAGCCAAGCTAGCTAATTGCCTGAATGAAGTATTCCACTCGCCGGCCGGCTGCTATACATAGACGACACTGTCAAGGTTAAGCGTCATATCTCGTACGTATGCACCAGAGGATTTGATCGCCGTTTCATTTCTAAATTCGGCAGCCTTGCTTGAACTACCTCCAGTTTGATTGCCGTTTTGTTTCTGAACGCGACAGACTCAACCGCCTCTGGTGTGAATCTCATCCAGACCGCTAATTCTGATGTTTACGTCAGCAGATATAAGTGGATAAAGTTAGATGGGCATGTGCCATTTGTCACGAAGACGACGAGAACTACGTAGTAAAGTGTTGCCGTACGGCGAACAGGTCACGCTTAGATCTCATAGCTGACGTGAGGTTATCGTCTAGCGTTATATATATAATCATCAACAGAACGAGAGTGTACAAAAGAAGAAGAAAAAGAAGAAGAAAAACTCATTAGTGCGATTCGGCGAGTCAAAGGAATCTGACCTTTTCTTCTGCCCGGTGGTCTACCAATCTTATGTAGTTTTTATTATTTCTGGTATTCGTTGTACTGCCATAATTGGAGACGAATAGATCGAAAGTTTTTTTTAAAAAAAAAAGGATCACAACGCATTTTCACTGTTGCGTTCCTCACACCGATATCTATGCAACTATATCTCATGTTGACAGATTTCGACGGGTACTTTTTAGGACACAACATGTACTTCCAACAATAACATACTTTACTCATGCGATAATGTATTGTACTTCACACCATAACATTCTTTTTTTGAAACATAATCGACTTTATTCCTCAAATAAAGTTAAGGATGACAGAATCTCAAAACATGGAAGTATTATCTCTAAACAAACACTGTAATAACATCAAACTCAAAGCAAAAATCCTCCTCCTCCCTCGCTCCCGTGCGGCTGCACCGGGGCGCCCAAACTCCGGCCGCCTAGGGGCCCTCGTTCTCCTCCTCTCCCCTCACCGCCGCCGAAGGGCATCGCCGGGCAAAGCCCGAGCGGCGTCGGCGGCGGTGGGGCTGTATGGTGGCGTGGTTCGAGCGGATCTTGAGGTCCTGTCTGACTTCAATGGTGGTGTGCGGCGGCGGGAGTGGGGCTCAGCGAAGAAGTGGGGTGGCGGCCGTGGCTCGCGGAGGTGCTGAGAGCCGCGTGGCCGCGGCGACAAGGGGTGGCTGGGCGCACTGATGCGCGGCGGCATCCTGCTGCACGGATCTGGCGCCATGGCTCGCGTACGGCGCAGCGTTGCTGCTGCCGGGCGGATCCAGGGGCTGCCGGGCGCGGTGGTGTGTCAGGGAGGAGCGAGGGCGGTTCCAGGCCAGGTGCGGCAGCCCCGGGATGGTGGCTGCAACGGCGGCGGCTGTTGTCGTGGTAGTGGCGTGGAGTTCGTCGCCGCATGAGGTGCGGTGGTGGGGTTTGTGTGGTGGTGGTTGGCTGCATGTGGTGGAGGTGAGCTCTCGGGCGATCCGGGCGGCCATGGTGCTCTGGATCCGCAATCCGGTCGTGTGACGAGGAGCTCCGGCGAAAGCATTGCCCTGACCATGGTCAGGATCGGCGACGACGGCACCTACGGATGTCGTCTACCTTCTTGGAGGCGTCTTTGTGGAGCTCCTTCGGCCTCACGATGGATTTGGCTCTCCGGATGAAAATCCTAGCTTCGGTACTCCGAAGCAGGCGGCGGCGGCGTCTATGTCGTGTCCTCCTTGGAGGCGTCGCTTGGGAGAGGCAGTTGAGGCTGTTGCGGGGGATCTCTCTACCATCAGGGTCAGTGGATGTCGGGGCAGCGGCCCCGGACTTGGGCGCCGAGACGGCGGTCTCGGGAAGCGATGCAGTGACGGCTCCATGAGGTAGGGTTGCAGCTCAGCATGGCTTGGGTGGCGTTCTTGAGCTGCGAGGGCGGCAAGGTCGTCGGCTCGGTCGACGCGTTCCAGTGTGGACGGTTGGACTTTATGTCGGGGCGGCGGCCCCGGAAGCGATGCGACGGTCGTGGTCTGCGGGCGGTTTACCTGCGCAACGTGGGTTGCGGGTGGCTGGGTCGTGCGGCGTCATGGCTCGAGGGCGAGCGGTGGTATGTCGTGGCGGCGGCCCCGGAAGCGGTGCGACGGCCGTGGTCTGCGGGCGGTTTTCCTGCGCAACGCGGGTTGCGGGTGGCTGGGTCGTGCGGCGTCGTGGCTCGAGAGCGAGCGGTGGTATGTCGGGGTGGCGGCCTTGGAAGGTGGAGTTGGTTGATCGCGCAGGGCGCGGTGGAGCGGTGGATGTCGGGGTGGCGGCTCCGAGATATTGCAGCTTCGAGGGATCCGGCTTTGTGTCGTGTGGGCGACGAGGTTGCCTTGGATGTTGGCCATTGGCATGTTTATGCATTTGGGCGCAGGTCATGTGGTGTGCATGTCGTTCATTTCTTCCGGAGAGTCCCGTGACTGCTCCTCTCATAGTAGTCACGGATTCTTCTTTCCTGCAGTGGTGGATGGCCGGCTTGTTGTATTTCGGCATGTTCTCGACGAGTGTGGGCTTGGCCCTTGATGCATTGGTTTTTGCCCGGTTTTCCAGTAATTAACTGGGCAACTCTCTTCTGCTTAATTAATGGATGAGCCAAATTTTTTGCCTCCGTTTCAAAAAATAAACAAACATTGTGCTAACTCATGAGCCACCTTATTTGCTTCATGTAGGCAGTGAGAATACCCCACCCTCACGAAGTCCAACAATAATTGCTTGCATTCCAGTACAGTATCTAGTATCCGACTCCACTAGCACTTTGTTGCATCCAATTTTCTCAGCTAAGTATAGCATGTTCATGATCCCTATCATCTCCGTTGAATCAACACTGCCAAGTTGAGGTATATATCATGTTGCCGCCGCAATAAATTTTCCCTGTCCATTCCGGGCAATGCTCCCATTGCACCTGACAAGGTTAATTTCAGGCTTAAAGGCCGCGTCAACATTAACTTTCACCGGGGCATGCGGACGCGGCGGCATGGATGGATGCAGCTAGGTCATTCTCTGGATGGGGATTGCAATCGGGACGGGTGTGGTTCGTGTGTGTGTACAGTTTTGTGTGTCTAGAGTTTTGTGTATGGGTCACTTGCAAATCGGCCCTACAAGTCAGTAAGGGCAACTAATGTCATTTTTGCAAAAACTGACAGGTCTTTTCTTGGTCAACTGGCTAGAGTAAACGGTCAACTCACGGATGTGTAATGGAATGGCATTTGTGATATATTGTCAAAATCTAAGAGTGGCAGAAGTGAGATGTTGAATTCTAGGATGGCATAAGTGAAGTTAGCAAAAACTAGTGTGGCAAAAACAAAGTTTTCCCTTCAAAGAGTGGCCCGAAGTTTCTATCGGAGAGTCAAGATGAAAACGTGTGCCAACCCCTATGCA